AGATACTAAGAACAAGCTTATTCTACAAAGGTGAGTCCTTCTGTTCTTTCTCACTGTGATTGTCAAAGCTTACAGATAAACGAAGAGTGGAGGCTGGCTTGAACTCTGACGGGGTGGAGAAGATGCATTTGGAGGATAAATTAAAAGTTGGCAGGGCTGGAAGCCCAGGGATTGATCTAATCTGGAAAAGAAAAACATGGGTTAGGTTAGATTGCATAGCTTAACTCTTCTTCCCGATAGCCTTCTAAGAACCCCAGATGTTAATTGGATCTGCACTTCTCCTCCTCTTGCTCTACATGACATGGCATATTTCAATGCCATAAAAGAAAAGAGAGCTGCATTATTCCCTCTTCCGACCCACGGTATTCATTCCCCTACATTCAGCTGACCACCTTCAGACAGCAGAACTGCATATCTGGAGAACAGTGGTGGCAATTGTAATTAATGTCTTTCATGTCAATTTAACTTGTTCCTGAGAACTTTCTGCTTTTGTTCTTGGAGAGAGAGAAGGGATATAATTGTTCTGCCTCCAGAACATGAGGCCGTGCTTTGGGATTTAATCTCTATAATCTATACTTTCTCAAATTCTAATGCAGTTATATGGTTATTAGAATAGTTGGGTAAGTAAATGGCAGCAAAGCCTTCTCACTATATAAATTTCTGTTTCAAACTGTGGAACTATAGCAGTTACTTTTATTAGCAATAACAATTATTGGGCCTTTTAGCTTCAAGGCTCAAGATAAAGTAATGGCTTGTAATGATTCCTTAATGACAGACTTTACATCCATGTCATGGTGACATGAATAATGTTATTTATTTTAAGAGAAAGTGATTAACTGTTCTTTGGTAGAAGGCTAAATACGCATGGAATGAAATCATACTTGGGTGGTTTTTCCAGAGATCAGCATTCCACAATTTCTAACAGAAATTCTTAAATGTACATTTTATGAAACATCTACACCCAGAGGAACATCCAATGTCTTTGGACTTGAAGAGAAAGATCATTATCCCATATAAATCTCCATAATTTGGAATTATGCATATCACATTTGCTGAAGAGATCTTTCTGCTAGCCTCTGAGAAGGAGCAGGAACTAAAGACTCTCCTCATGAAGGTCAACTTCCTTGTAGAAGCACATACTGTCTAAAACAAAGGGAAGCGTTTGGCCCTGGGAAGCAGACAAAAAATTATATCTTTTTTCCCCACAGTTGGTTTCAATATTTTGATTGCTTTGTGTTGTTGATTTGGTATTTCTCTCCATCATTCTTTTACAGGCATGAGGGAGAGGAGAGGAGAGGAGAGG